GTCAGTAGAGCGCAACTCTTGATCTTGCAGTTGAGTTCGAGCCCCATGCTGGGTGTAGAGATTACTTTAAAAAAATAAAAATAAATAAAAACAAAATATAGCCCAAAATTTTTAAAAAAAATAAAAGCTTTAAAAAATAAGTTCACTATGAAATTGGCAGAAAAACCTGGTGAAAACCCAACTGGCTCATTACTTCGTTTATTTTAGGTCCTACCTCAAACAGCCTAAGATTTACTAAGCAATTATTATGCACCAAGAATCGCATTAAGTGTTTTATAATATTCTATCCCATTTAATCCTTAGGACAACACAACAGATATTATAATGCAAAGAACCTGAGGAACTTCATACAGTTAGCAAGTGGCAGGACTCAGATCTAAGCTAAACCAGTCTGACCTCAGAGCACCTGTACTCACTCTCTATACTGTTATATGACCTCCCAGTTTACTTTTTGGTTTCTACCATATCATCTAATTTCTAGACAAACATATTTGTATTTTATGTCTTTGTTTTTAATGTTGGCTGGTAGGTGTTTTTTATAAGAGCTTATGAAATATAATTCACAATACCATACCATTCACCCATTTAAAGTGTAAAACTTTTGCTTTTTTAATGATTATTGAACAGAGATGTACAACCATTACAATTAATTTTAAAGAATTTTTTTTAATTTATTCATTTGAGACACAGAGATAGAGAGAGAGAGTGCATGAGCAGGCGGAGAGGCAGAGGGAGAAGCAGGTTCCCTGCTGAGCCAGGAGCTGGACATGGGGCTCGATCCCAGGACCCTGGGATCATGACCCGAGCTGAAGGCAGATGCTTAACCATCTAAGCCACCCAGGCACCCCATTACAATTAATTTTAGAAGCACACTAAAAAAAATCCCTCACCTATTAGCAGTCACTCCATTTCCACCCAAGCCTCCTCACCACCAATCTATAAAGTGTCTCTTCAGGTTTGCCTATTCTGGACATTTATGGGGGAATCATATGTGTTCTTTTGCGTCTGGGTTCTTTCACTTGGCGTAATGTTCTCAAGGTTCCCCCATGCTGTGGCATGTATCAGTACTCCCTTTTTATGGCTGGATAATATTCCACTGTAGGATACACTACATTTTATTTATCCATTCACCGGTTGATAAACTTCTGGGTTGTTTCCAAATTTTATGAACCATGCTGCTATGAACATTTGTGTACAAGTTGGTTTTTTTTTAAGATTTATTTATTTTAAAGATTTTATTTACTTATTTGAGAGAGAGTGTGAGAAAGAGCACAAGCAGGGAGGAGGGAAAGAGGTAGAAGCAGGCTCCCCACTGAGCAGGGAGCCCCAGATGAAGCTCAAACCCAGGACTCTGAGACTATGACCTGAGCTGAAGGCAGACGCTTAACTGGCTGAGCCACCCAGGCACCCCTACCTTTATTTATTTTGGAGACAGAGACAGCATGCATGAGCAGGGGTTAGAGAAGAGAGAGAGAGAGAGTGAGGGAGAGAATCTCAAGTGCCAGAGCCTGATACTGGGCTCAATCCCAACCCATGAGACCATGACCTGAGCTGAAATCAAGAGTCAGACACTCAACCAACTGAGCCACCCAGGTGCCCGTGTGTACAAGTTTTTATGTGAACATATGTTTTCAATTCTCTTGGGTACATACCTTGGAGAGGAAGTGCTGAGTCATATGGTAACCCTATGTTCAGCCTTTCTGAGAAACTGCCAGACTATCTTCCAAAGTGGCTGCACCACTTTAAATTCCTATCAGCAATATGTTAAGGGTTCCAATGTCTCCACATCCTCTCCAACACTTAGCAGTCTTTTTAATTTTAGCCATCCTAGTACGTATAAAGTACTATCTCACTGGAATTCTTAATTTCATTTCTCTATTGAACAGGGAATGATGGTGGGCATCTTTTTCAGGTGCTTAGTGGCAAACTGTGTATCTTCTTTGGAGAACTCTCTATTTAGATCCTTTGCTCATTTTTAAAATTGGGTTATCTTTTTATTACTGAGCCACAAGAATTCTGTATATATTCTAGATACAAGTGCTTTATCAAATAACATGATTTGCAAATATCTTCTATTTTGTCGGTTATATTTTCACTTTTTTGGTAGTATCCTTTGAAGCACAAAGGTTTTTAATTTTGATAAAATCCAATTTATCTACTTTTTCTTTGTACTTTTGGTGTCATGCCTAACAAACCACAGCCTAATCCAACCCCACATTTATGCCTGTGTTTTCATCTAAGAGCTTTTAGTATTAGCTCTTACATTTAGGTCTTTGATCCATTTTAAGTTACTTTTGTACATGGTGTGAGGTAGGTGGATGTATTTTTTTTAACTCATGTTTTAAAGGCTAGAATTGGCATTACCCGTTTACTCCTATCTCTCCATTATTCCCCTCTAACCAATCATCAGCTAACACAGATTTTAAAAACTCAGAATCTGAAGTCAAAATGCCTGGGTTAGAGTACTAGCTCTGTCTCATATGACCTAGAACAAGATTCCTAAATTCTCTGGGCCTTAATTTCCTTGTCTGTAAAACAAAGAGAGTAACAAACCCAACCTCAAAAATGAGGATTAAGTGCTAATAATACATACAAATGCTGAGTAGAGTGTTTGCCATATTGTAAGCACTTAATAGACTTCAACTATTAATTACTGCTTTCTAAGTATCATTCAGGTTTGGCCATTCTCTCTAGTACCATAGCTTCTACCTTAGTTTAGGTCACCATCATTTCTTACTTGGATTATAAACCCTATTCTTTTTTTTTAATATTTTATCTATCCATCCATCCGAGAGAGTGAGCGAGAGTACAAGCAGGGGGAGCAGCAGAGGGAGAGGGAGAAGCAGGCTCTCTACTGTTACGGGAGCCCGATGTGGGGCTCGATCCCAGGACCCTAAGATCATGACCTGAGCCGAAGGCAGATGCTTAACCGACTGAGCCACCTAGGATTCCCTATAAACCCTATTCTTAAATGGTTTTCCTGCCTCTAATCTTGTCCTCTTCCAAATTCATTCTCTACTCTGAACTCATAATAACCACTATTAAAATCAATCCCCTGCATTTAAAAAAAAAAGTTCTCTGGTGCCCTAGGACAAAGTCCAAACTTCTTAACAACTGAGACATGAAGACTTTTAGGTTTGGCTGCTATTTAACTCTAGCCTAATCTCTTACTATTATTCCTACCTGGAGGCATGATTTCTTCCACCTCTAGAAGACTGGTTAAATCAGCTTTCAGGGATCCTCTTAGACACCACTTTCTCTGACAAGCCTTTATAGATGGCTCCAGAGCCAGTCCAAGGATAATACCCCTTCTATATCGTGTAAACTCTCCCAAACACTACCAACACATTCATTACACTGTGTAATAATTTTTTTACTTATATCTATCTGAGACTTGGTGGTAGGCAAGCCCCAATATGTATCACTGCATCCCGCTAATGAGTACTACAGTATGAGCCATACAATAGATATTTAATAAATGTTGCATGGATGGAGGAATGACCTCAAAAGTACATAATCTCAAAGTGGGGTACTTTTCTCCACTAGAGAGAGAACCAACTAAAACAAAACAAAATCCGTAACTTCATAATATTTTCATGTTCCAGAGTCTGAAAGTTTCAATTAAACATGAATACCACTGTCAGAGCTATCATGATGCACATGTGTTTCACCTCTGGTTGGCTATGAGCACTCAGAAAACTCAAGATGTTTGCTGTATCAAGTGTACAAAACTTAAGTTACATAAATTTATTTTTCAAGTTACTCTATTTTCTAGTCCTTACCTTCTCTGAGAAGAGATGTTTTAGAGTTAAACATGAACTTTGTGCAAACACCAATAATGTTATTAAACAAATTCAACTTACAAGAGGGGAAAAAAGAAATTTTGGTTAATTTTACTACTTTAATTGCTAATTTTAATGCAACTTTTAAAAAAATCACTTCAGAAACTTAACTAACTCCTAAAACATAACACTTAATTCAATGAAGTTCAATCTTTACCCCTATTCTACTTGAGGATAAAAATATGAGTTTGGAGATAAAAAGTGGCCTTATCCTTAGAAATGCATACAAATTATTAATGGATAAATTAGAGTAGAAGGTTGGCAAATTCACCTATAAAGCTACCTGAGTCTATAGCCTTTTGAAAGTGAAGAAATTTGGTTTTTAATTAGTATTCCAATTTTGACAGTTATTAGTCTATTCAAATTATTTTCTTTTTTGTCAATTTTACATTTTCTATTTCTCCAAACACAAAACCAATTGGTTTAGGTTTTTAAATGTATTAGCATGTACTCACATTTCATAATTAAAATACCTTATAAGTGGAAAAAAAGCTATTAGAAACTACAACCAAACTATAAATTTATGGAATCAAATTTGACCCATGTATCAACATTTAAGGGCAAAAATAATTTGAAAAAATATATACCTCTACTTACACTTTCTCTTGAAAAAAATCCACATATACTTGGCTATCAGAAGCTATCGACCTATAAAAGGGGTTGGCAAACTTTTTCTTGCTCTTTTTGCCAAGGATGCCATCAAGGGCAGTTCATAGGGTTCTATAAAGGAATCAAAGCAGTTAAAGGTTTTCCCCTACCAAAAGATTTTGTGAGATGTATCATTATTATCCTTAATCTTCAGATGAGGAAATTGAGACTGAGAACAGGTTGTTCATCCAGGGTCTGATTCTATAGCCAATGCATATCTCTTATTATTCTGCCTCAATATACTGAATTGATAAAGACAAAAATATGATAAATCAAAATATGTAATTAGCTATGCCTTCTAAAAGTCAAATCACAGATCACTAAAGGAAAGTATCATTTATCGACAGTATTCCGAGTTGTTATTTTTTTTTATTAAGGCTGATTCAGTATTTAATCACTGTTTCAAATATGCTTTTGGACATTTTTGTTCTGAAGAGTTACCTATAAAATAATATATCACCAGGAAACAATAAATCCCTTGTTTGGATTTTGTGGTATTTGTGCTCCTACCTGACACTGGTTAATAGCTGCATGGTTGCCATGAAATGGAGATTGTCTTTCTTTATCTCGATGATGTCGACTGCTGTGTTTACTTCTCTGCAATTGCTGGCGTAATTTTGCAATCTGAAAAGGGGAAAAATAAAAAGTGCATCAGAGTTTTCCAAGCTACATAAAACATCCTTGCTTAATAAGAACCAGTAAAATTCACCCTTAATAAATCTTTTGACTTTTAAAACCCTGTCACAAAATCTGATTTATTGTACAAAATTTATATATATACACATACATTATGTGTGCACATATGTGTATCTTTCTTTTGGAGACAAAAATTATGTTCCAACACTGTTCAGAGCCTTCAAGCTTCCCAAGTACTAAACCAATGAAGTTTTCAGCACTTAGAATAAATTACATTATAGCTTGTCAGAAAGAATTTAAAAATAATGAAAATTATTCCCATGGTCCTAAAAATGAGTCATTTTATTTAGATTTCTTTAAACACCTAACCTTCAATAGCTCCAAAAATTAAACAATATTTAAAAATCAATTCAAGTTTAAACTACCAAAACTGAACCAAGGAGAAACAGAAAACCTGAATAGACCCATAACCAGTAAGGAAATTGAAACCTTAATCAAAAATCTCCCAGCAAACAAGAGCCCAGAGCCAGATGGCTTCCCAGGGGAATTCTACAAACATTTAAAGAAGAATTAACACCTATTCTTCTGAAACTGTTCCAAAAAATAGAAATGGAAGGAAAACTTCCAAACTGATTTTATGAGGCTAGCATTACCTTGATTCCAAAACCAAAGACCCCAACAAAAAGGAGAACTACAGACCAATATCCCTGATGAACATGGATGCAAAATTCTCACCAAAATACTAGCCAGTAGGATCCAACAGTACATTAAAAGGATTATTCACCACGACCAAGTGGGATTTACTCCTGGGCTGCATGACTTGTTCAACAGCCGCAATTCAATCAATGTGATACAATACATTAATAAAAGAAAGGATAAGAACCATATGATCCTCTCAATAGATGCAGAAAAAGCATGTGACAAAGTACAGCATTGTTTCTTGCTTAAAACTCTTCACAGTGTAGGGATAGAGGGAATACATCTCAATATCATAAAAGCCATCTATGAAAAACCCACAGCGAATATCATTCTCATTGGGGAAACACTGAGAGCTTTTCCCCTAAGGTCAGGAACACAGCAGGGATGCCCACTATCACCACTGCTGTTCAACATAGTACTAGAAGTCCTAGCCTCAGCAATCAGACAACAAAAAGGAATAAAAGGCATCCGAATTGGCAAAGAAGTGAAACTCTCACTTTTTGCAGACGATATGATACTTTATGTGAAAACCCAAAAGATTCCACCCCAAAACTGCTAGAACTCATACAGGAATTCCGTACAGTGGCAGGATATAAAATCAATGCACAGAAATCAGTTGCATTTCTATACACCAACAAGAAGACAGAAGAAAGAGAAATTAAGGAGTCAACCCCCTTTAAACTGCACCCAAAACCGTAAGATACCTATGAATAAACCGAACCAAAGAGGCAAAGGATCTGTACTCAGAAAACTATAGAATACTCATGAAAGAAACTGAGGAAAACACAAAGTGTAAAAACGTTCCATGCTCATGGATTGGAAGAACAAATATTGTGAAAATGTCTATTCTACCTAGAGCAATCTACACATTGAATGAAATTCCTATCAAAATACCATCAACTTTTTTCAAAGAAATGGAACAAATAATCCTAAAATTTGTATGGAACCAGAAAAGACCCCAAAGAGCCAGAGGAATGTTAAAAAGAAAAGCAAACCTGGTGGCATCACAAGTCTGGACTTCAAGTTCTATTACAAAGCTGTAATCATCAAGACAGTATGGTACTGGCATAAAAACAGACACACAGATCAATGGAACAGAATAGAGAACCCAGAAATGGACCCTCAACTCTAGCGTCAACTAATCTTCGACAAAGCAGGAAAGTAAATTCAATGGAATAAAGTCTCTTCAACAAATGGTGTTGGGAAAATTGGACAGCCACATGCAGAAGAATGAAACTGGACCATTTCCTTACACCACACACAAAAATAGACTCAAAATGGATGAAAGACCTAAATGTGAGACAGGAGTCCATCAAAATCCTAAAGGAGAACACAGGCAGCAACCTCTTCGACCTCAGCCGCAGCAACTTCTTTCTAGAAACATCGCCAAAGGCAAGGGAAGCAAGGGCAAAAATGAACTATTGGGACTTCATCAAGATGAAAAGCTTCTGCACAGCAAAGGAAACAGTCAACAAAACCAAAAGACAACAGACAGAATGGGAGAAGATATTTGCAAATGACATATCAGATAAAGGGCTAGTATCCAAAATCTACAAAGAACTTAACAAACTTGACACCCAAAGAACAAATAATCCAATCAAGAAATGGGCAGAAGACATGAACAGACATTTCTGCAAAGAAGACATCCAAATGGCCAACAAACACAGGAAAAAGTGCTCAACATTGCTCGGCATCAGGGAAATCCAAATCAAAACCTCAATGAGATACCACCTCACACCAGTCAGAACGGCTAAAATTAACAAGTCAGGAAACAACAGATGTTGGCAGGGATGTGGAGAAAGGGGAACCCTCCTACACTGTTGGTGGGAATGCAAGCTGGTGCAGCCACTCTGGAAAACAGTATGGAGGTTCCTCAAAAAGTTGAAAATAGAGCTACCCCACGACCCAGCAATTGCACTACTGGGTGTTTACCCCAAAGATACAAATGTAGTAATCCAAAGGGGCATGTGCACCCCAATGTTTATAGCAGCAATGTCCACAATAGCTAAACTATGGAAAGAGCCTAGATGTCCGTCAACAGATGAATGGATAAAGAAGATGCGAGGTGTGTGTGTGTGTGTGTGTGTGTGTGTGTGTGTGTGTGTGTGTGTGTGTGTATACGCACACAACCTAGGAATATTATGCAGCCAACAAAAAATGAAATCTTGCTGTTTGCAACAACATGGATGGAACTAGAGGGTATTATGCTAAGCGAAATAAGTCAATCAGAGAAAGACAAGTATCATATGATCTCACTGATATGAGGAATTTGAGAAACAAGAGAGAGGATCATAGGGGAAGGGAGGGGAAAATGAAATAAGATGAAACCAGAGAGGGAGACAAACCATAAGAGACTCTTAATCTCAGGAAACAAACTGTGGGTTGCTGGAGTGGACGGGGGTGGGAGGGATGGGGTGGCTGGGTGATGAACATTGGGGAGGGTATATACAATGGTGAGCGCTGTGAATTGTGTAAGACTGATGAATCACAGACCTGTACCCCTGAAACAAATAATACATTATATGTTAATTAAAAAAAAAAGGTTGACTAGCCCGCAATTGAAAAAAAATCAATTCAAGCCATGAAATCCATTCACAGACACAATCTTTACATAACAAATACAATTTCAATCAATATCTTGTATTATTCCTTGAGTAAATCTTTGTTTTATTTCTATATTATATGTAAAGTGCAAATATCATAATTATAAGCACAGAAAATGGTAATTAACATGGGGCCATAATCAACTTGGTTGTATTGGGTTACTGAATTTCAGAAACACTACCATTATATATAGAAATAATAAATGTGAATTTGTTGTATCATTACAATTTTATACATCTGACGCTTAGGTTATGTTAACAGGTATGGACTCTCATTTAATAAAACAAAAGGACAAAGAAAACCAAATAATCTGGTAAGTAATGTGTACATTTCCCCCATTCAAATCTTTATCCAAGCAATGTAGTAACTATTTTTCTGTTATTTTTCAGGTAAACAAAACAACCAAAAAAATAAAAACAACACAGAACAAAACAATGGAAACTGACAAATCCCTGTTGCCTACAACTCAAGGAACTAGGCAAGGAAGGGATCAAACTTCCACACCAGTTCTTTGGAATTATTTTCCTGACCTCCTTAAGTTGATCTGTACTGCCCCACGATGCTGAACGCTTGTGAGACCCTTTCTTCTTTTCAGAGTATTCTTCGGCCCATGCACTCTCTGTCTATAATGGGAAAAAGAGGGAAGGGGTAGGTTAATTGCAACAAGATGGACAGACCTTGAGGGCATTATGCTCAAATAAGTCAGGCAGAGAAAGACAAATACCATATGATCTCACATGTGGAATCTAAAAAACAAACTCAGAGAAAAAGAAATCAGATTTGTGCTTATCAGAGGCACCAGAGGGGGAGTTGGATGAAGGTGGTCTAAAGGTGCAAACTTCTAGCTATAAGATAAATAAGTACTGGGGATGTAATGTATAATATGATGACTATACTTAACACTACTGGTATAGTATATTTGATAACTGTTAAAGAGTAGATCCTAAAAGTTCTCATCATAAGAAAAAAAAAATTTTAACTATATGAGGTAATGGATGTTAACTAAACTCACTGTGATAATCATTTCATAATATATGTATTCCAAGTCACGCTGTACAAAAACTTATACAGTGCTGTATATGTCAATTTTATCTCAATAAATATGAAAAACAGTTTCATTTCTAAAAAAAGTATATACTTTTCTATTATACAATACATTCCCATTAAAGAAAATTTAGTACTAGAATATTTAAAAAAACACAATGACCCAAAATTCTTCCAGCACCAGTTACTTTAACTATAATATTTTAGTCTATTTCCTTCATTTTTATTAATAAATTCTTAGTTATTATTTTTACATAATTATAAGTATAGCATTTCATTGAACAAATGTATACTAATAATAACCAACATTCCTGGGGCGCCTGGGTGGCTCAGTCGTTAAGTGTCTGCCTTCAGCTCAGGTCATGATGGTCCTGGGATCAAGCCCCACACTGGCTCCCTGCTTGGCAGGAAGCCTGCTTCTCCCTCTCCCACCCCTGCTGCTTGTGTTCCTTCTCTCTCTGTGTCTCTCTCTGTCAAATAAATAAATAAAATCTTTAAAAAAAATAACTAACATTCCTGTGATCTTATTATGTGCTAGGCACTTTGCTTTATGGAAGTACAGTGAAAGGTCTTCACTGTATTATCTGACTGAATATATACGAGAAGCTCTACAAGTTCTGCAGATAAGGAAGCTTGATAAGTTGCCTCATGTCTCACAGCTAAGAAGTGGCAAAGCTAAGATAAAAACCTAAGCCTCTGGAATTCATAATCTTAACCTCTACACTATGTCTAGTCTTGATTTAGATATCTGCAAAATATAGCCTCAAAAATGGCAAATCCTTAGTGGTTATACAAAATCCGGAATTTAAAGACACTGTATTAGGAAAAAAAAAAATACAAATGAGTTCTTAGTATGTGAAAATATGCCCAATCTCACCCGTTAGAGAAATCTAAGTTAAAACTTCACTGAGACTGGGCAATTTGATATCATACTCTTTCCTGTATTTTTGGTGAAGTGTAAATTAAATTAGTACAGCCTTTATGGAAGGGGACTAAGCAACTGCTGTCAAAGTTACAAATGCACATACTGTTTCACTCACCTTCTTTTGTAATTTATCATGCAGATGTACAAAATATATATCTTTATGCACAAAATAATACAGCATATTATTCCCGGTAGCACTATTTTGACAAGTAAAAGATTAGAACAATGTAAACAAAGGATTTGTTAAATAATGGTGTGTCTTTACAACAGAATACTTATTCTGCTATAAAAAATGAGTAAGGAAATTCACAATAATCTCTGTGAGATTGTTAAGTGAAAAACTTAAGGTTCACTACAGTATGTACAGCAACTTCATTTAACCAGTGCCACTAGAAAGAATATACACATATGTAAAGTATCTCTGGAAGAATATACATAGTAACAAAAGAAACGTAACAGTGACTGCCTATTGGGAGGAAGATCCTTCCTTCACTGTATATACTTCTGTACCTCTTAAATTTTGTACTGTAAGAATGAATGTATAGCCTATTCAAAACAATACCTCTCTATATATGGACGGGGGTGGGGGCAGGACTTTTAAGGGAGAATCTTTCTATATGGATGGAGCAATCTTTCTATATGGATGGAGCAATGTCCGCAAGTAAAAAACAAGATTGTAGAAGTATATATACACATCACATATATAATATTCCTGCCAAAAATGTAAGAACTTGAATCTAATTGTGAAAAAACAGACTCAAGTTGACAATACTCAACAAAAATACTGGCTTATACTCTTAAAAAATTTCAAGGTCAGGAAAGACAAAGAAAAGCTAAGGAACTGTTTCAGATTAAAGTATACTAAAAAAAAACATAACATCTAAATGCTTCTTGACTAGATCCTGGCTTACAGGAGAAATTACTACAGAGAACATTATTGAGGAAACTTAAAAGCACTGTATTGATGTTAAATCTCCTGGATGTGGTAATCACTTTGGTAATTTTTATTTAACTCCTTGTTCATATACACGTTTAAGTATTTGAAGAGTCAGAATGTCTGCAATTTACTAATGATTAGTAAATAGTAACAAAAGCAATTATATCTGCACCAAAAAATAAAGAAAAAACATAAAAATGTTTATTGGTGAATATACGTGAAGAGTCTACTGGTATTTAATCTACTGTTCTTACAATTTTTCTGTAAGTAAGACTTTTTCCAATAAAAAGATTTTTAAAATTAGGGAAATCTAAATATATTAAGTATAAAATTTAACTCAAGGAAAAGCAAAGGAATATAAAAGCTTCCTATAGATTTGTTAAGAACAAATTAAAGATAATGAGAACAAGAGTATTAAGAAAAATAAAAGTAAGCATGAAGAGCAATAAACAGCTTTGCTAATTTCAGTTATAAGATATTCAAACAGGAAAAAATACTTACCAAAAGTCACTAATTTTAAACTCCTAACTCAAAAGACAACTGCTTTCTTTGTTCCACTTAGATGTTAATAAAAAGTAAAACTGAGTTTTAATTAAGTACATTTCAACTTTGTTCAATCTTGCACTGTATACCAGAAAACTATTAATTAAGCATCTACTGCCAATGCATCAGGCACTGGACTAGGTACTGGGGTTAAGGAAGAAACACACTTTTTATTCTCAAAAGGTTTTTTTCTAGGAGAGAAAGGACAAATAGCCAATTATGATACCATGTGATGAAGAGGTCCCCCCAAGAAAGGCATCTAACCCAGAACCAGAAAGACAGGGAAAGAGGTAGGCAAGATTTTATGGGATGAGGGGAGGCTGCTATGAGCATTAGAGTATAAGTTATCCAAGCAAATGGTGGGGAGGCATTCCAAATAAAATAGAAAACATGAGAAGCATCAGTGAAGAGAGTACAGGGCACTGCAAGTTCATTATTGAGAGCAGGGGTGTTTTTCCTAAATTATTTTTAGTAGGTAAAAAAATGAGTTACACAGTAACTGTATTTGTTTTAAAGGATTCCATGATATAATCCTATTTTATTATACTATAGCCCAGCCTGTTTAAAAAACAGAGAGAGTCACTGTCCTAAAGAAATCTGATCTAAAATGTGAAAAAAGGACAGGAACACCAGTCAAGTGGTAAAATATCTAGAAATCTAGATTATTTCAGAATCCTAGGCTTAACCAAGAAAGGCAAAGCTACTGAGAAGCCAACCAAAGAGCTTATACAGAGGTCATTAGATTTAGGTCTGGGAAAAAAAAAAAAAAGATTTTAACACTTTCCTTCCCTCTTAATATTACCAATTTTAACCAGTGGACCAAGGTTTTATACAAAATAGCAAGAGTTACTCAAAGAGTAATTTAAAAAAAATTTTTTTAAAGATTTTATTTATCTGACAGAGAGAACAAGAGAGCACAAGCAGGGAGAGCAGCAGAGGGAGAGGGAGAAGCAGGCTCTCCGCTGAGCAGGGAGCCCGATATGGGACTTGATTCCAGGACCCTGGGATCATGACCTGAGCTGAAGGCAGCTGCTTAACCGACTGAGCCACCCAGGCGCCCCTCAAAAAGTAATTTTTTTTTTAAAAAAGCTGATCTACCTCTTCAGTACTTTCATTTCATAACACTAAGACACATTGTAGTGTTGCTTATATCAAATATATAAAAGTTATTTTTAAAGTCCAGATCATTCTTTCAAAAAAAAAAAAAACCACCTCTAAACAAGTTTAGACTTATAAACAGCTATCTTCAGTAATTCAACATTATTTTAGTCTCTAATTTACTAAGTATTTAATTTTCTTAGGTTTTTTTAAAAAAGATTTTATTTATGCATTTGACAGAGAGAGAGAGTGAGAGAGAGAGAGCACAGGCAAGGAGAAGGGCAGGCAGAGGGAGAGGGAGAAGCAGGCTCCCCGCTGAGCAGGGAGCCGGATGTGGGGCTTGAACCCAGAACCCTGGGATCATGACCTGAGCTGAAGGCAGACATTTAACTGATGGAGCCACCCAAGAGTCCCTAATTTTATTAGGTTTTAATAAGAGACCATCTTATAGTTTCTGAACTTGGATTACAATTTCAAGCCAGTGCATAAAATGGAAAAACAATAAGCTCTTAATCAAAATCAACCCCTGAAGAGGGAAAACAGTCTCTGAAATGTAGAAGTTCCAAGAGAAAATAACATTAAGATTTTTAAAAGCAAAAGATGACTGGTTTATGTAATAAAAAAAACAAACAAAAGAAATAGTAAAGAAAACCAGACACCAATCACATGAGTCACAAATTCACATACTCATACATGCCACCAGTAAGGTAAAGAAGCCTAGGTGGTTAGGAAAGTTGGGAAGAGAATACCTTTTGAGTCAAAAGAATGTCAAATAATCCAACCACACATACACATTTCATTTTATCCCACACACAAATTGGTATAGTCAGAAAATTCAAAAGGTATCCCTTACTAATTAAGTGAATTAAATTAACAGAACTGCAACACAGATAATGGTGGAAATATAAATTAGTCTAAATTGGGAGGGCAAACTGATAAATGGTCAGTTTTTAAAGGAATCTTTAAAAGAACATGGGAGGTGGGGGGACAGGAGGCAGAGGCTGGGGACAATGTAGTATTAAGGAGTGTACCAAACTCTAAAGCAGAAATGGTAGACCAGCCCCGATCCATTGGCAATGGCAAGCTAAAGCACTGCACTAAAGAGACTCTCAGGCTATTTGAGTTCACAGGGAATGAGCAATGCCTGCCAAAGATACAGAAAAAAAGAAATGATGCCGTATTTTTGCTATCTTTGTGTCAAGTTATTAGGATGACAAATAATCATGTACAATAAAATTTTAATCATCCACTCATCCTCATGACCAAAGCAAATAATGGGGTGGGGGGAGGGGAGGAGGGGAGATTAACATCTTTAAAAACTTGCTGCCATATTCCTAAACTTTTTTGATGATGCCTTTCTCTGTATTTTCCAGAACCTCTTCTTTCCATTCTCACTCATCCCTGAGATACTTACACAGACCTTAGACTCACACATAATTTTTTTTTTTTTAATGAAGAACCAGGGCTCACAGTGGTGACATGATATGTTTTGTCAAAAGTCTAGGAGGAACTTCCTGGAAGCACCCATCTATAATATAAAATAAATGACTTCCATCATACTTACTGCTCTAGCACTATATGGACCGACTGATAAGAGCCCAGGGCCTCTCAAATACGGCAAAATAGCCAATCAGGAATCGTTAGCCTGAATCTTTTTCAACATAATGCTCCAGGAAGCTAAAAGCAATTGACAAACTGCCTAAGATAGAAAACCAACATGCCATCCTTGTTCTGACGATAATCAAAGGTAGTAATTTTAACGGCAAGCATTTACTAAATGCTTACTACGTGCCAGACACTGTTCTAAGTGTTTTACACATATTTCCTTGTTTAACCCTCATAATAATCTTAAAAGATAGGTACTATTCTTTTCCCATTTTACAAAGAGGAAACAAAGGCACAAAAGCGACTGAACTTCAAAGATACACAAAAAGCACATGAAAAGATGCTCAAGATCATTAGTCATTAGGAAAATATAAATAAAACCCATGAGATACAATTTCATACCTATTAGGATAGCTATACTGAAGAAAAAAACAGGAAAATAAGTCTTGGTGAGGATATGGAGAAACTGGAGCCCCTTTACATTGCTGGAGGGAATACAAACTGGTGCAGATGCTGTGGAAAACAGTTTGGCAGTTCCTCAAAAAGCTAAATATATGACTCAGCAATTTTACTCCTACATATGTACCAAAAGGAATTGAAAGCGGAGATTCAAACAGATACCTATAAAGCAATGTTCATTTCAGCATTGTTCACAATAGCCAAAATGTGTAAAAAACCCAAATGTCCACAAATAGATAAATCAATAAACATGTTCACCCATACAATGGAATATTATCCAGCCATGAAAAAGAAATGGTTCAACATGGATAAATCTTGAAAACATAACGCTAAGCAAAATGAGTCAGATATAGAATTACAAACATTGTATGCTTCTACTTATATGAAATATCTAGAACAGGCAAATTCACAGAAACAGAAAGTTGAATAGTGGTTACAGATACTGGAGAAAGAAAGAGGAGTTACAGAGTTCTTGTTTGGGGTGATGAGAAGTTTCGGAAACAGATAATGGCAATGGTTGCATAACGTTGTGAATGTAATTAATGCTACTTAATTGTATACTTAAAAATTGTAAATTTTATGTTAAATACATTTTACCAATTTTTAAAAAGCTGATTTAAGGGGCACCTGGAATGGCTCAGTCAGTTAAGCATCCGACTCTTGGGTTTTGGCTCAGGTCATGATCTCCGGGTCATGATACTGAGATCGAGCCCCCCCATCGGGCTACATGCTCAGCATAGAATCTGCTTGGGACTCTCTCTCTTCCTCTCCTTCTGCCCCTCCCCCCTGCTCATGCTCTCTACCTCTCTCTTTAAAAAAAAAAAAAATCTTTAAAAAGCTGACTTAATTAACTAGCATACATATATTAGGGAATCCAACATCTACCAATAGAGAATTTGAGAATTTATGTAAATGAAAGATTAGAGTGCCCAGCTATTGCTGCATTATACCTTAGGGGATTCTAATGTGAACTTTACAAGCAAGATTAACAGTATGATAATTATAAGTTTTCTTTATATTTGTACCCTTAACATTCCCAATTTGGGGGTCCTTTAGAAAAAGGTGAAGAGAGTATGGGGTTTAACTTTAATTCAATATAGTCAGAGTTAGGTGGGCTCCCAGTGGATTCTAAGATTGTTTATTCTTACTGTTAAGACAAAATATCTGAACCCACTGAACCTGAAACTGCAGAGGAGATAACAAGGGTTGCAGAAATGTTCAAGGAAATATACCCAGAGTAATTTAAACATGGCATGTGGATTAAGCAGAAAGCAAGTAGGAACTACTCATTTTCCATACTATATTGACCTAATCTCAGCAAACTTACAGATTTTGAATAAATGGAGACTCTTCTATAACTCTTTGGTTAAAGTCAGTTTCTCAAAATATTCGTAAATTTGAGGAGCCCAGACTGTTTTCATTTCTGTATTTGCCACTGGGATATAAACCTCAAGGTAATCTCATATCCCAAGCATCTACCCTAACAGTGGGACTCAGTTTCAAGAATATCAGAACACAAAACAAACTAAGCCCAACAAGAATATGTGGAATTTTGGAAACCAAAATGCAAATCCAAAAACCACTACAAAGTATGTTTACTTGGTTCTATAAAAGGACATTCTCTTCATAAAGTGCTGGGATCAAGCTACCATCAGTGATGTAAATTTGAAGTCTAAATCGAGATATACCTTAACTGATTTTCAACAGTCAGTATAAAGAATCTTTTAACTCTTTAACTGATTTTCATTCTTCACTAGCAATAAAGCTTTAACTATTCTGCTCATTCATTCCTTTGCAAACAATCCTTGAGTGTTTACTCTTTCAGGTACAGTACTAAATCCTGGAGATGAAAATACAGAAATGGATGAGCTAGGCCATGGGCTCAACATCTAGTAACTATGAGAAATATTAAATAAATGATTAGACAAATATTAATTATAGTAAGCGTTACGAAAAAAACTAAACCATAAGTGCTATGAAAGTCATCACCTGGCTTCATGATCTTGGACCTCAGCTTCCTCATTTGTAAAATCAGGAAGTAGATCTAAATGATGTCTTAAGAACCTTTTCTTCATTTATTTTTAGTAATCTCTATACCCAGCATGGGGCTTGAACTCACAACCCCAAAGATCAAGAGTTGCATGCTCTTCCAGCTAAGCCAGCCAGGTGCCCTTCTTAAGATCCTTTTAATTAAAAAATTTCATAAATCTAAAAGTATAAAATTCTGCTTCCAGGGTCTCTTTGTCAGGACATTTACATTTACAGAATCTATCTGCAACATAATATAATCCCTATCTTCCAACATGTGACGATTTTTGGCACAAAAATATAAGGTTAGATGGAAAGTAAAGTAATCCTTACTGTTAAAAATTCAATATATTAAATCTATTCTGATGTTCTAAACTAACAATAAAGAGGAAGTGGGTGGGGGGGGAAGTGTGTCCATAAATTATCCTTATGTATTGGAATTACTTTGGGAACTATTTAAAATGCACATTCCCAAGCCTCAACCAAAGCCTACTGGAGTATCTGCACTTTTGATAAGCTTCTCAGGTAATTCTAATACACACTAATGTTTTAAGAATTTGAGCACAGCATAAAACAAATAATGTTATGAGAAACGGTTTCAGAGTAAAACACTTCAGGATAAGAATTTTAATACACCTACCTGTGTAGCCTTGTCCCTCATGCAAGGAGCAGCTTGCCCATGACTATCACGAGGCCAGTGTCCTGCAAGGTATGGAGCAGCAAGTGTATCCAGAGAGGAAGTCCGGCGGATAATACTAGAGGGGCTCGAGGATGGTGGTCGTGTTTTGTCACCTAGATTTAAAACAAATATATGTATTTTTAAAATAGATTAGGAAGGAAACAAAGTAGAAACTAAGTTTTAAACGATGTGGAAATAACTTAAATATAAAAAAACAAGTGAATAAGCTACTGATTCACACAAACTTGGATGAATCTCCAAGGAATTACACTGAGTGAAAAAGTTAATCTCAAATGGCTACATACTATAGGATTTCCTTTATATAACATTACTGAAATGAAAAAATTTTAGAAATGGAGGAAAGATTAGTAGCTGCCAGAAGTTAGAGCTAGGAGAGGGAAAATGAAGTGGCAGAAGAGAAGCAGGCGTTATAAAAGGGCAACGAGAGACCCTTGTGATAAGGAGCTGTTCAGCTTGACTGCAGTGATGGATATACAAACATACAAAGGAGGTTAAACAGTACAGAATTATATGCATGCACAAACGAGTTCAAGTAAAACTGGAAAAATCTGAAGAGCAAATCATACAACGTCCATATCCTGGTTGTAATATTGTACTACCGTTCTACAAAATGTTATCATTGAGGGAGATGGCGGCAAAGTATACAAGACTTGTATTATTTGTTACAACTGTAATCATCTCTACAGAAAAACAGAAAATAAGACAAATGTATATCTACCCATTTTAAAAATGTTCATCTTGGTTTTAAGATTAAATAGGTATAACACACAAAATACTTATCATTACACCACCTATACTCAAAATGATATAAGGCAGTTAAGACAGTCACAGGAAAATTCCATTTTAATCAGCTCTATACACACATATCTCAAGGAGATTTTGTTACAGTAAAACTATATTAACCAGGCTACAGGAGCTATTGTTGAAGCCACAAAGGCAAAGTCTTTTCCATTGCAAGCTACAGGATATGTATATTTAGATGTAAGCAAAAAATAAAAACTAAAAAAACTAGAGGTAATGGGAAGTGAGAGGTGACACAGGAAAAACACCTTTATATCTCCTTTTTTTTTTTAATGGGGCAAGGAAATAGGCTTAGCTAATTTATGCTTTAAAAGGAAAGAAAGCAAAAGAAAGAGAGAAAGAGAAAGCAAGCAAAGAAGCAAGCAAGCAGGCAAGGAAGGAAAAGAAAAGCTTTAAAAATAATAAACATAGAAAGAAAAGACTTGAAAAATATTAAATATAAATATATGCATAAGTAGGACTGTATTATAATGGTATCATTCTAGTTCTATATAACAAATACTTTGCTCTTCTTAAGCTGACATATGAAAACACTTTGAGACACCCCCCCATTTGTATTACATTATGTCTTAATAAGAGTCTTGCATAGTTACAAGTATAAAAGTTCAGTTGCTGGTTATGTGACCCATGTAACAAAAGATTCAATTCCACTAACATAATAGTTACAGCAGCTGTGTTGCTGATAATCATAAAGCTGCTTCAGATATGCCTGATACATAATTTGCTTTCAAAACAGCACAATTATTTCACTAAAACAATGCCTAATTGTTGCAAATGCTAACCATCCCTGTGCAGTCTTCCTTTTATAATAAACAGAAAATAGAGTACATATCCACAAGTTCAAGAAAGCATGTTCTCACATTATGACAAGTGAAAAGCAATAAATGTACAAGTTCACAATTTTCCTTTAACTAAAAAATTAATCTCTATTGGGACAGTCACAAGAAGATTGTTCTCAGCTAGGAAAAAAAAAAAGACACATATACTCTGTAAACTGGGGTGTATTCATCAAAATGAAACTGCCAGAAGCTGTCTGGTACTTTTTTCCCTACTGTGATGCTGCTTTAGTCACCCACCAGTACCCTAATCAAATAGTCCTTACTAATGGGTCTGATTCCATTTTGAAGATTTTTAATTATCCAAGAGTTGACTTTTCAACTAGGCCTCCTAAGATTATTAAATTTTCCATAATGAAATGGGAGAATAGAAAATTACACATGGTCACATGTAAAAATACAAAACATTTTCTCTTTAGAACTCCCTTCCTGTAACCCATTAATTTTGAACATTTATTAAAGGTCTGTGAGCCAGTGCAAAGCCCTAGAAATTAAAAAGACTAAGTTACAGTCTCCTGTAAAGAGCACAGTCTACATTAGCTTGTCATTATTCCATTTCATTCCAAGTCCCCAAAATTGACAGGATTTGGTGCCTAATTATGAGGGAGTTTAAGGGATGGGAGGGAGCCTCAAGAGTCAAAGATGACTCAAAGATTCCCATCCTACCTGAACAAAGGCTGTATTTATAAGGAAGTCCAGAGAAAGAACCTCTTTGACAGCTGACAAGACCCTTCTTGATTGGGCTTCCCCAGCCTCACTCCAATGCCTGCACCACCTCAATCCCTACCGGCTGAATGACCTGCAGTTCCCAACAAGTGCCATGCCCTTGCATGCCTCCACGCCTTTGTCTCCACTTAGATTTCCCTAGATACCCCTTTCTTTGGTTTGGCTAATTCGTGTTTAACCTTTGAAAACTTCAGCTGTCTAAACTGAAATTCAAAATTCAGTTCAGATATTTCCTCTGGAAAATCTTCCTTGAACAACTACCCAAGCCCAAGAAACACATCAACTTCTAAGTCAAAAGTCCTACTGTGTGCTGCCATAGCATGGTTCACAGAAATAGTCCCTTGAATGCTCCACTAGAGAATAAAACTTTGGAGGGCAGGAATTCTACCTCCCCTCCATCCCAATGATTAAGACAGTACCTGATATACATGCAGAGAAGAGAATGACTTCTAATGTTACTATTCTTCATCAACAAGGGCAAGTGTGCACAATAAACTGTGATACACTTATTAATCCAAAGTAAAGCAACAAAGTCAAATATTGCCTAGTATTAATTACATGTGGAATCTTAAAAAAAAGTGAAACTCATAGAAAACCGATTGCCAGGTCATGAGAAAATAGGGAGAGGTTCATGAAAGGGCACAAACTTCTAGCTATACAATAAATAAACAAGGTCTGAAGCTCTAACATGTAACATGGTGGCAGGGCTGATTAACACTGCATCGCACAATTAAAATCTGCTGAGTGCAGAACTTGGAAGATAAATATGTAAGGTGATGGATGTGTGAATTAAACAGACTGGAGGAACCCTTTCACAATGTATGTGTTTATCAAATCATCGTGGTGTGCACTTTAAATATCTTACCATTTTGTCAATTATATGTCAATAAAGCTGAACAACAAAAAAAGTCAATCAAAACAACAAAACAAAGGTTTAAACTTGACTTTGTTTTTTAACAGTCCAGTCTTTAAAGAAGTTAACCACAGCAGGGTGTGACACTAAAAAAAACGGCAGTCAGCGCCTTGGGCTCTGGAGTTCAGAACTCCCCAGCTATCTGTGACCAGTTCTACTGGTTCCTGAGTGACTTCAATGACCATAGTAGAGCATCCCAAACCACAGCCCCTGGGTATTACATTAACAGGTTCTACAGACCTTGTTAGATTTAGGTATTTGCAGAACTTAATCAGGTACCACCTTAAAAGGCTGTATTCATATTTGTTCAGAAAGGGGAAAAAAAAACTCTTTTTCAAGTATAAAAATGATAAATACTCCTCATAAAGAAACTGAACAGTACAAATAAAAGCAACCCCAACAGGCGACCACTCAAGAGAGAACCATTTTAATGAGTATTTATTTCAGAAATTTGTCTACCACTCACACACACAATTTTATATAAATGAGGCCCCATTAGGCGTGCTATTACTTATTGTTGAGAAATGAAACGGACTTGTTGAGGACCTATTTCCATGGCAATAAATACAAATCTACAATACATTACCATTTTTAATAGCTGTATAGAATCCTACTGAATGGATATACCTTGACTTAATCCCATAAACGATGGACATTTCCAGAGGCAGATATGTATCTTTTTACATTTAATTATCTCTTAGTGAAAAAATGTCTAGACATCAAATTATATATCCAAGGACATACATAGGTTAAAATTTTAAGCACTGCCACATTGCTTCTCACCAGAAAGCATTTTGCCCTCACAAGAATACTCATTTGCCCACATTCTGCAGTGTACTTTATCAATTGCTGCCAATCCAAAAAAAGATGAGGGGCGCCTGGGTGGCTCAGTCGTAAAGTGTCTGCCTTCGGCTCAGGTCATGGTCCCAGGGTCCTGGGATCAAGCCCAGCATCCTGCTCCCTGCTCGGTGGGAAGCCTGCTTCTCCCTCTCCCACTCCCCCTGCTTGTGTTCCTTCTCTCACTGTGTCTCTCTCTGTCAAATAAATAAAATCTTTTAAAAGAGATGAAAAATATCAAAAAGCATCACATGCTACAGAGAAATCATTCATGACAGGAAAAGTCAATCAATGTGGCAAACTTCCCTATTGTCTTATTTTAAGAAACTTCCATAGCCACCCCAACCTTCAGCAACCACCACCCTGATCAGTCAGCAGCCATTAACATCAGGGCAAGATCCTCCACCAGCAAAAGATGACTCGCTGAAAGCTCATGTGATGGTTACCATTTTTCAATTAAGGTATATACCTTGGCTTTTATATATATATATATATATATATATATATATATATATATATATATGGTGCTATTGCACACTTAATAGGCTACAGTGTAGTGTAAACATAACTTTTATATGCACTGGGAAATTAAAAAACTAATTTGACTCATTTTATTGCAACATTCACTTTATGGTGGTGGTCTGGAACCAAACTCGCAATATCTCCAAGGTATGCCTGTATCCGGGACACAAGTCCTTTATCAAATATATGTAGGTGAAAGTTTTTGTCTAGTCTGAGGTGTGTCTTTTCATTTTCTTAATGATGTTTTTTGAAAAGCAATTTTTAATTTCAATATAATAAATTTATCAACTACTTCTAACAGTTTATTTCCTAAGAACTCTTTGCCTACTCTAAGATCAAGAAGATTTGCTCCTAAGTTGTCTTCTAGACATTTTTCAATTTTAGCTTGACATTTATTTATTTATTTTTTTAGATTTTATTTATTTATTTATTTGACAGAGAGAGAGAGAGAGAGAGA